ACGGCCGTTCCGGGCATTTGAACGCGACCTTCGGGGGCAAAGACATGGGCTCTATGGCTCAGACTGGACTCCTCTTGGTCCCTTCTGATGCCCTAGGCCACACCTGGGCCTTACCTGGGGTTCTAGGGGCCGGGCAGGGTTTGCCCCCCCCAACTGGCCCGAAGAACCTTAAAAAGATTTTCATTTTATATTTGCGATTTTTCGCAGAATCGTACGCGCAACGCGCGGTACCGGGATGGCTCCGTAAACGTGTGACGCACCGCCACCCAACGTGCACGGGCCACTCGCAAACGCCAGGTCCCACTCCACCTCCCTGCTAACGCCACAAACTAAGCGAAACGCCAGTCCCGAGAGAGCCCCCGGCAAAGCCCCCTCTACCCGCCGACTACCCGAGCGCACCACACGCGCCACGGGCGCACGAGCGTCGGCAGAGGGCGAGGGGAGCCAAGAGCCTAGTTGTACATGCAGCCTGGCAGCGCGCCGGGGATGACGTGGTTGAAGGCGACGCCCATGATTGCGAGCATGGCGAGGCGGCCGTTCTTGAGCTCCTTGAGCCGCATCTTGTCCGCCGCCTTCTTGTCCTTTGACAGGAACTGCGTGCCCCACCCGAGGTTGCCCGGCTCGCGCTTCTCCGTGTTGCCCAGCCACAGGTCGAACAAGCCGGCGCTCGTCTGACCCTCGGCCAAGCCTGCTCCCGGGGGCGGCGCCGATCAGAGGGGGCGGGAGGCGGGGAGGGGGCGGGAGGCGGGGAAGGGGCGGGTCGACAGCTCCGTCGGTGAGCCGGCGGCGGCGGGACGGGTGGCCGGAGGAGCGGAGCCCGTGTCCCCGAGTCACACGGGCAGGTGGCGGGCAGGTGGCGGGCAGGTGGCGGGCAGGGGGGCGGGCAGGGGGCGGCCAGGCTGCACGTGTGCGCACCGACGAAGAAGAGGAGCTGGCCCCAGGGATCTCGGGTAATCTCGGGTAATCTCGGGTAATCTCACCGATGAAGAAGAGGACCTGACCCCAGGCGGCGGGCGGCAGCGTCGTCGGCGCCATCGCCCAATCCGCGTTGGCGAAGGAGATGTCGGCGTTGCCTGGGGGCAGGGGTGTGCGGTGGGAGGGCGGGAGGGGGGCGGTGGGTGGGCGGGTGGGGGAGGCTGTCGCCTGGCAGGTGGATGCCAGCGGACTGCACCATGACTCCGGTGATGGCGAGCATGCTCATGCGGCCGTGCTTCAGCTCGGCCTAGGGTTAGGGTCAGGGTTAGGGTTAGGGGTAGGGTTAGAGCATGCTCATGCGGCCGTGCTTCAGCTCGTCCTCGCGCAGCCAGGCGACGTCGGGGTTGTTGGCGGACACCTGGCGAGGGAGGGGGCGAGGTGGCCGCGGGTCGGGACCAGGGGGGGCGAATCGCGTGCCGGGCAGGAGCTCTCTCTCCCTCCCTCCCACCTTCCACAGCTCGCTAAGCTGGAGCGGGTCCCACGGCACAGGCGCAGCGCCCTCCTTGCCGCCGCCGCCGGGGAACGCCGCGAGCTCCTGCAAGAGGCGACGCGGCGGCATTTCAGTGGGGTCGGCTCGCACGGACCCTCTCCCTGCTCGCCGGGTGCGTGTGTCTCTCTCTCCGGCCACAGGCGCCGGCCTGCGACGCGCCCACGTACTCAGAGAGAGGCTTGCGGGCCGAGTTGATGAACTCGCGGCCCATCGTCGATGGGGCGAGCGGCTGGTCGTACATCGGCCCCGCCGCCATCTGCGGTGGCCAGGCGAGGGCTCATCAGCCTCCGGCGGCGACGGGAGGCGGCGGCCGCGGCGGCGCTGCAGGACGGTGCGTGCAGCTGTGGTGCCCGGGAGCGCTGGTGCGGCTTCGCCGGCGCGCCTGGACGGCCGGGGCGCGGCGCGCGCCAACCACGTGCGCCGTGCTGAGCGATAGCTGCGGCGCGACGACAGAGAGCATGCCAAGCGAAGGGAGGTCTCTTGTAATCCTGCAGAAAAAAGGAGAAACACTCACTTCTAACGAAGAACTAACTCCGCGAGCAGGCGAACTCGCGATGTGCAGGCCTCTCTCGATCTCACGTAAACTCTGCCATCCCTTCGGTGACGCTCCCGACGCACCTCAAAAAATCTTTCAAAAACTAAAAGGCAGGAAAACATACAAAAACGTTGAAATCAAAATACGTAAAAGAAGAGAAAAGAAAAAACAAATTTTCCGTCGGCTTCATTCCAGTGCAGCCAGCCACAGCTTCCGACGATGGGCACGCTGTCGGTGCATCGCAAGCAGCTGGAGGCGCTGATCCAGCAGGCGGCCGACGCGGCGCGGGAAGCCATGGCGATCGTCAGGCTGCAAGCCATCGAGCGGGGGCGTGCGGTCCGCTCGACCCTCACAGCGTCGCTGCCGACGTCGATGCAGGGTGCACGCAAGAGTCGAACCTCTACTGCACGGTCCGGTTGGCTCTACGCTGTGCTGTGCTCGCTCCTGCTGGTTGCCACCGCATTTGCCAGCGAGCGTGCCATCGCCCACTCGGTTTGACGAGGCGGTGCTGGGTGTCGGTGTGCCGTCGCGTGTCATGGTGAGAGAGGAATGCTTGTGGCGCGCGGGAGCCGCGCCCGCTATTGATCTCTCCTAATAATTTAAGCGTGCTGTCTGACAAGTTACACCTCTCACGCCCCACACCAACACTGTGCCTGTCTCTCGCCCCTCCACGCTCCGCTCCGGCCTGAGCGCTGAGGGCCTCTCCCGACCGCCGCCGCCCCGCGCTAGGGCTAGAATAATGACGCGCTGCAGCTCGCCTCGATGCCGGCCATCGTGCCAGGCTGCGGCGCATCGTCGAAGGTCACGTCGATGACCTCCACCTCGTCGGCGTGCCTCCTCGCCACGCGCATCGCCGCGTCCATCTTTTCGTGGTACGCCATGATGCGGACCGGCGAGACGGCTCGCCGGCGGAGGGCGGCGCGGGCGATGGCGGTGCGGCAGGGGACGCGGATGTAAAGCGCCTTGACGAAGAGGCCCGCCTGCCGCGCCTGCTCCATGCGGCGCACCTGCCGCTCCAGGTTCGTGCCGGTGCCGTCCACGATGAGGCGTGAGACGGCGACATCGGTCAGCGCCCGCTCGAACCGCGCCTCGATGCGCTGGTCCGCCCACGCGTAGGCCTGCAGGCTCGAGTCGAGGTAGAGGCGGTCCGGGTCGGCCGGGTCGAAGCTCGGGTGCTGCGCAATCTCGATGTCGAGGTCGAGCACCGTCGTGCTGTTGCGCCGCTTGGCCTGGAAGGTCTCGTAGCGGCGCCCGATCACACGCGACTTGCCTGCGCCGGGCAGGCCCACCATGAAGACGGCGACGCGCGGCTGCGCAACCTCGCCGCGAGCGACCGCGTGCAGCGCCGTGTAGAGCCAGCGGCGCGGCCAGGGCAGCTGCGTGGCCGGGTTGGGCCGACTCACTCGCGCTGGGAGCGGGTCGTGGCGCGGATTGCTGCCGCCGAGCTTCTTTGGCCGAAGAGTCGCGTCGGCACGCGCGAGGTCGCAGCGAGCGTGGGGAAGGCCAGCGATCAGCAGCAGCGAGAGCGCACCCATCCTGCGTTTCGATAAACGAGTTGCGATCGATGGCCTTTTGTTCAGTCCCGAATCTCGAACGAGAATTCTCCGCGGCGGGATCTCGCCGTGGGTGGTGGGTGGGGGGGTGGGGTGTGGTTGGGTTGTTGGGTGTGTTCGTGTTTTATTTCTTTATTTACCCTGGCGCACTGGCGAACAGATACAGATACAACCGAAAGAGAAGAATTTTAGACGGGACGGACGACGGCTACTCTCTCCCTGTCTCACACACGGCCGGCTGCTCCCGTGCGCCGTGGTGTACCTACGAGTATGTGCCAGAGTGCGCGTCCCCTCGAGCCCCGTGGTGTGCCGCCCCGCAGTGGTTGTGCGAAAAAACCGCAAGCCACCGCTCCAAGTGCGGTCCAAGGTCGAATAAGAAAAGCAAGTGAAAACATAACCGGAGAGACGCCTGACGGCCCCTCGAAAGTAAATCACGCTGAAGTACCACCACGCGCCGCGTCTAGGGCCTCACCCTGTGCCACAGCGTCACGCCACGCCTCCTCGGCGGCAGCCCTCGAGAGGTAGGCGCCTGGCCCCAGCCCGGCACGAAGACGAGAGCGCAGGGTGTGGCTGGCCTGCGCTTCCTCTGCCCAGTCGCGTGCCTTGGCCTGGAAGAAGCGGTCTACCTTGCGCAGCGAGCACAAGAACGCCGCTGTCGCCAGCACCGTGGCTGCCGCCATGGCCAGCAGCACCGACACCAGCGCCGTAGGCGCCGCCGCCCGCCTGAGTTCCTCCCCGCCGTCCTCGTCCGCCGCCAACCCGTCCGCCACCGGCGCCTCCTCCTCCAGCCTTGCCGGCCGCGCCGACCTCTGTGACGCCGCCGACCCTCCCGCGCCCTCCTCCGTGTCCGCCGTCCCGCTCGCAAAGGCAGACGCGCGGGAGACGCACGCCCGGACTGCGGCTGCGGTGCTCTCCGGGACCGACTCGAAGCGGCGCACCGCCGCCGCGTAGAGCGGCGCGTCCTCCGCGTCGTCGAGCTCGAGCCCGGGGGGCGCCGTGTGGTTCTGGACGGGCGCCGTGGCGGCGGCGCTCACCTCAATCGACCAGAGCGGCGTCCCAAAGGTGGCATGCCACAGGCAGAGCGTCTCGAGCCGACGCTCGGCAATGCCGACAAAGGCCATGCGGTGGCGCACAAAACCGACCGCGGCCGCGCTCTCGTTGGCTGCGACGGGCGAGGGGTCGGCGCAGGCCCGGCCCATCACCATCTTGGTCTGGCAACCGGTGACGCCGGGGATCTGCAGGAAGGCGCGGAGCCCCTCGGGGGCGTCGCGCGGGAAGGCTCGCACCGTCCTGAAGTACGTTGTTCGCAGGGCAGCCGAGAGGCCCCAGCCGGCGCAGCAGCACCCCCAGCACCCCTTTGTGCCGTTGGTCCCGAAGACTTGCTGCAGGAAGCGGAACGTCGAAAGGAGCCGCTGCCGAGGCTCTCGCACGACGGTGACGACGCGGAAGGCGACGGCTCCTGGCCGCAGCACCAATGGCGGAAGCGGCTCGTGGTGCCACCGGTTTCTAGGGTGGACGAGGCGGGCGGAGCAGTCGCAGCCCAGCCGGGGAGGGCCGCTCTGGGTCGAGATATGGCTCGCGTTGAAGGAGGTTGGGCCGCAGCTGTGCGCGTACACAGTCACACTGAATAGCGTGCCCGTCTTTGGCGCATGCATCCACATGATGCGTGCCGGGGCGTCCGGCTGCATGCGCGGCACCCAAACCTGCGGGAGTCGTGGCTCGCTGAGGCGTTGCGAGCACGCTGTACCGAGAGCACGTCGCTCCACGGCGGCGTGGCTGCTTGGCACCATTGAGGGTGTGCCGAGGGGGACCGGGAGGCGGTAAGCCGTCGTCGCCCGGCGCTGCTTGCAGCACGTGGCGATGGCGCGAAGAGGTTCCTCTTTTCCGCGGCGCGATACACGTCACCCAAGCAACGGAGTGTTTTAGTTGGCTTTCCTCTCTAGTCTTTTTCTTTCTTTGTTTCGGCGGCTGAGCCCCGCTGCCCCAAGCATCGCGTTAAAATACAGGGAGACGCCATGTAGGACCCGACCGCTAGTCGCGATTCCCCGTGTTTGTAGCCTGGCGTTCGTGCCCCATTTGTGCCGCCGCGTCCCGTGCCACCGAGTTCATTTTTTAAGATCTTTCGCGTGGGAATATGATATCCCATTGCGAATTTCTTTTTGTGGCCATCGCCCCGGAGAGAGGCTTGCTGCAGTCGTAGGCCCAACGCGATCTGCCGAGCATCACATCTCATGGAGGAGGAGCAGGCCATGGAGCTCGAGGCGCTCGAGGCGATCTTCATGGACGATTTCAAGCTCCTCGACGGCGCTGATCCGCCCGGCTTTGAGCTGACGCTCGTGCCGGAGGCCGGCGGCGACGAGAACCACGTTTCGGTGGTCCTGCACGTCCGGTTCCCTCCAGCCTACCCCGAGTCGGCGGCGCCGCTGCTGTCGGTGGGCGGCCAGCACCCGGCCGGCCGCGGCAGCATGCCTCCACAGCGCAGCGCCCTGACGGCGCGGCCCCGTGCGCTCCTGCGCAGGTCCGTGGCGTGCTCGGGCTGAACGACGAGCAGGTGGGCGAGTGCGAGGCGATGCTGCGCGCCGCCGCGGCGTCGGACGAGCTGGCCGGCAGCGCGATGGTCTACTCCCTCGCCGAGCAGGCGCAGGGCTGGCTGCGCGACCGGAACGAGCCGGAGGTGGACATGCACACGGCGATGCTCGCGCGGCAGCAGGCGAGCGCGGCGGCGTGCGGGGGAGGCGAGGCGGAGTGCTTGGCGGACGCGCCGAGCGGCGGCGCCAGCGGCCGACGCAAGGGCCCCGAGGGCGTGGGAGAGGGGTCGTGGCGTGCGGACCCGGCCGCCGCGGCCCTGGGTGGCGCGTTTACGCCGGTGACGCCAGAGTCTTTTGCGGCGTGGAGAGCGGAGTACGACGCGGAGCAGAAGGAGCGGGCGCTCGAGCGCGCCGCCGCGCTCTCGAAGCGACGCGGCGGCGGCGGCGGCGGCGGCGGCGGCGGCGGCGGCGGAGGAGCGGTCGGTCAGACGGGGCGGCAGCTGTTTGAGTCCAAGGGCGCGGTGTTGGTGGCGGAGGACGCCGGCGACCTGGGCGAGGGGGAGGAGGACGTGATGGCGGCGCGGCGCGAGGGCAGCGACGGCGCGGCCTCCGAGCAGGAGGGCGAGGGCGAGGGCGAGCTCGAGGCGACGCTGCTCGAGGCGGTGGGCGACGCGAACCTGTTTGACGACGACGACCTCGACGACCTCCCCGACGACTGACAGGCCGCGGGCGGGGCGCAGCCGTCCCTTCCCGGCGGTGGGCTCTGAGCTCTCTCTCTCTCCCTGTCGTTGCCGTCCTTTGGAGTTTTATTTCCGACGACCGGAGAGAGCAGAGAGACCGAGAGAGAGCGGCGAGAGAGAGAGATAGGTATGAGAGATAGAGTTGACCTGTTGTTGGCCTCATATCGATTTATGACACATGCATGCTACGACTGTACGACGACTGTACTTAGCCATGTATGGGGGCAGCGGTTACCGCCGCGAGCGCACGCCGAGCTAATGCCGCATGTGCTGCTGCTGGATTGGGAGAAGTGGCCTCGGGCGCTTGCCCTCTCCGTGCACGGGGTCGGCAGGCGCGTGCCTCTTGAAGCACTGCTGCGGGAGCGGAGCGCTCAAGTCCATCGGCATTCTCTGCTTCTCGGCGTCCGGGTCCAAAGCGGCGGGGTCGAGAGCGGGAGCAGGCGGCATATCACAATCAGCGCTCGGCCTGGCGATGACGTGGCCGTGCGATTCCCAGGCCTCGACGGCGGAGGCGAGCCACGACCGATCCTGAACGTGGTGGTAAAAGCCGTGTCGCATGGCGCCGGTCACCAGCTGCCGGTCCCTGGGTGGGCTGTCTCCTATAAGCCGCAGTCACTCCCAGCTGCTCGGTGTGAATAGGAGGTACAGTGGGTTGCGGGCATTAAGAAAACAGGATTCCGCGGCACGCCGCCGTTTCTAAGCCTTTCCACAGCCCTCATCCACCCCACGCCGTGGTTTCTTAGCTCCGGCCGGGGCACTCAAGCCAGAGCGCCGGCCCGAAGGATTTTTAGGTAAGAGGTAAGCTGCGGTCCGCGAGGGCGATGCCAGAGTCTGCCGCCGAGTCGGCTCTCTGTCTGGATGACGGGAAGACGCACACACGCCTCCATTCACTCCATCCACTCAGAACACCGCAGACTTGGAAAGTGACAAGTGCGCGCGCCGCAGGCGAAGAGAAATTTTGAGCTGGGCCTCCCGTTCACACTCGTGTCTGGCCTTTTCTCGGGGCCGCGCCTGCGGCGCGCCGTGGTTTCTTAGATTTTTGCGGAAATCGCTTGGTAGGGTTTCTTAATGGTACGTTTTCTTAATGCCCGCAACCCACTTTTTCTTCTCAATAACAAGGCTGTGAAAGACTTTCCCTGGGTCTGTCTCTCACAAGCCCTCACTATCGTCGCATGCAAGGTTCTTGTTTCTTATCACCCTACTCTGATACGAGCGTCACATTGTAGTGAACAGGCCGAGTTCGCGGTTTGAGCGCCCAGCGCAGACCGACCGACTGCAGGGGGGGTCCGGTCGGCGGCCGCGGAGGACCGCAGACCGGAGGGGGGGTCCGGTCGGTCGGAGCGCAGACCGAGGGGGGGGTCGGTCGGGTTGGCTCGAGGGTCACACCGCACACGCTCGCCACAGCTGTGAATAAATTAGTATCTCGAAATACTAGAGACACCAAGCGACCTCTCCCCGTCTAATCACTCATCGTCGTCCGAGTTGCTGATCTCGAGACGCTCTACAGGATTGGGTCGGAACACGAGCTCGTCCATGTCCACGCTCCCGTCGTCGTCGTCCATGATTAGCTTCGCCGGCGACACACTGTACCCGTTGACGAGCCGCTTGAGCGCGGCCAGCACCTCCTTCTCTGCCGGCCGAGCGCCCACGGGCCCAGCATGCAGTAGAACTCCTCGAAGGTGAACTGCTCCTCCTGCGACTCCAAGAAGCAGTCCACCTCCTTCTCGATTAAATGAGTTGCTCCAGAAGCGACGTCCATCGATTGCCATTCGCTGTCGCTTGGGAGACTCGGAAGCCGATGAGCCCGGTGACGGCGGCGGCGATGTGTCGATCAAGTCGGGCAAGTCATCGTAGTCATCAGAAGGGACGATGCGCGCGTTACTGTGGAGAACTGGAGCGCTGCCAGAGCTTGTACAAAGCAACGGCAAGCAGGACCAGGCCTGCGACTGCGTAGATGCTCCACATATACGTGTGCGGTCGGGCTTGCTCGGGCCTCGGCGAAGAGAGTCTCCTTGGCGCTTGGCTGCGTGACTGGTTTTCATAGTGAAAATCGGCGATTTCGAAGCGCCCGTGGCGGTTCGCGAGAAGGAGGGAGAGCGTTTGAGGGGGCTCACGGCAAGGACACCGACCGAGGGGGGGGTCGGTCGTCACACCTCCCGCCGCCGAGAGAGCGACCGACCGGAGGGGGGGTCCGGTCCACCTCGGGGGCAGACCACCGACCGGCGGGGGGGTCCCCACGAACTAGGGGGGGTGGGTACAAAGTGACGCTCGTATGACAGACCAGCGCATAGCGCCATAATATTGGTTAATAAAAATCTCTCTCACACAAGCAAGGCTGTGAAGGCCCCACCCCCCTGCGCGCGGGCCTTCTAGGCCCGCGGGTAGTCTCCCCCCATCCCCAGGGCCTCCAGGGCTCACACCTCAACCTCTCACAGACCAGCGCACAGCCTGAGCCCTGGTGTCGAGGTGTCGAGGCCCGTTGTCGAGGAGGGTGTCGAGCTGCTGTCGAGGAGGGTGTCGAGCTGCTGTCGAGGAGGGTGTCGAGCTGCTGTCGAGGCCTGTCGAGGCCTGTCGAGGCCTGTCGAGGCCTGTCGAGGCCTGTCGAGGCCTGTCGAGGCCTGTCGAGGCCTGTCGAGGCCTGTCGAGGCCTGTCGAGGCCTGTCGAGGCCTGTCGAGGCCTGTCGAGGCCTGTCGAGGCCTGTCGAGGCCTGTCGAGGCCTGTCGAGGCCTGTCGAGGCCTGTCGAGGCCTGTCGAGGCCTGTCGAGGCCTGTCGAGGCCTGTCGAGGCCTGTCGAGGCCTGTCGAGGCCTGTCGAGGCCTGTCGAGGCCTGTCGAGGCCTGTCGAGGCCTGTCGAGGCCTGTCGAGGCCTGTCGAGGCCTGTCGAGGCCTGTCGAGGCCTGTCGAGGCCTGTCGAGGGGCTGTCGAGGGGCTGTCGAGGGGCTGTCGAGGGGCTGTCGAGGCCTGTCGAGGGGCTGTCGAGGGCTGTCGAGGGCTGTCGAGGGCTGTCGAGGGCTGTCGAGGGCTGTCGAGGGGCTGTCGAGGGGCTGTCGAGGCCTGTCGAGGGGCTGTCGAGGGCTGTCGAGGGCTGTCGAGGGCTGTCGAGGGCTGTCGAGGGCCTGTCGAGGGCCTGTCGAGGCCTGTCGAGGCCTGTCGAGGCCTGTCCGAAACTGATACCTTGCTTGCCAGTGTCGAGGGGTGTCGAGGGGTGTCGAGGGGTGTCGAGGGTGTCGAGGGTGTCGAGGATGTCCAGAGGGTGTCGAGTGTGTTGTCAAGTGGCGTCTGAGGTGTCGAGGTGTCCAAGGTGGCAGGATGCAGTTGCAGCCCATCAACAAAACTTGGGCAGCAGTTGCAAAGCTGTTTCATCCCTTAGTTGCAGCCTCTCAGTTGCACCCTGTTGATGTAGCGCAACCTGAGCACAACCAGTATACTCTCTGTGTGCGCGCGCGCGCCTCGCCCGAGCGCAGCCACCTGCGGCCTGGCCAGAGCCTGTTCCTGGCTCGTGCCCAGCCTCTCCTTCCGCTGCCGCCGGCCTCGCAGTCCCGCCAGCCTCGACCGCCAGCCATCACGCTGCAGAGCCTGCGTAGACGCCACAGACGCCAATTCTGCAGCCCACAGCCCTGGCAACTGAGGGCGAGGGCCAGCAGTATACGACGACGACGACAACGACATCTCACACCCCGCGCTGGCCAGCGCCATCAGCCCCTCACGGCCCGGCCCAACATCCCTTCGCTAGCGCCATCGCCTCCAGCGCCTCCAATCAAGTCGCACCTCTCTTCTTCAGCGAATGCAGCGGCAGCACCACGTCAGAGGCCGGGCCGACTGGGGGACCTGCATGCCCAGCCATGCCCCCCACTCCCCACCCGCTTGGATCGATCAGCTGACAGCTCCACCAGCTCCCACCACCGCGTGTCGTGTCATGAAGCATGATAGATAGACATAGAAAGCATGAACCATCGAAAGGTCTGGTCTCCAAAAAGAGCTCTCGGCCGTCTGCGCGCGCCCGTGCCCCGCCCCTTTTGCGCAGCAACACCTTAAACTTCATGGCCCTCCAAATTCGGGTCGGAGCGTAGCGGAGTGGGCCCCGAGTTTGAAAAAAGCGACGGACGCTTGCGTCCTAGCCTCCAACAACGCCTCCCCGGCCGGCGCAGAGGGGCCCCCGGAGGGATGCTCAACCGCCCCACGCCGCGCCGCTTGCGGCGGTCATATTCCCAGCTCGCGGGAGCTTATTTTTCAATACTTGCCAAGCTGGAAGCAGCATAGCATTTTTTTCAAACCATTCGTCCTCCCCATTCCGCGGAACCGCTGCTCACGAACGAAGCTGCAGGCCGCGCCGGGGCAGAAGGAAGGAGAGGGAGGAGTTGTGTATACTGGCAGTGTTTTGACACATAATTTCCCCATTTTTTTTCAAAATGGGAAGCTGGAAGCAGGGGCACCACTTGGAGGCGCATCATATCTTCCCCACATCCCGCGGAACCGACAAGCTTCTCCGTCCACGCGCCTTTAGGGGCAACTCCTCGACCGACTCGTTGCTCGTTGCGGCTCTAGTGCTTCTTGCGGCCGACTCGTTATGGCCGCTCTCGCACTACGCCGCTCCGGCCTCTCAGGCGGGCTAGACCTGCTTAATATCCAGCCGGAGGAGCCGCCACCAACTGTCGCACCGGCCGACTCTTGGTCCACCACCACGCTCGAGACGCTCCCCGAGGACGCACTGGCCTCTGTGCTGGCTCAGTTGGGTTCGTCTGTGGACCAGCTCGTCGTCGCGTGCGTCTCCAGCTCCCTCTGCGACGCCGTTTCCCGCTCGTGGGCGCGCGACGCTCTCCTCCTCTCCTCGGACCCGCACCTCGCCACCGACCAGCTGCTGCTGCAGCTCACGCTCGGCCGGCTCGCGCGTGGGCTGGTGCGGGAGCTCGACATCGCGGGCTGCGATCTGCTGACCAAATCCGCCGTGACGAGGGCGGCCATGGCCCAGCGCACCATCCAGCGCCTCAACGGCACCAACGTCGGGGTCGGCTCGTGGACGCCCGAGCAGCTGCTTCGGGTCATCGCTGCCCTCGACGACCTGCGTGTGCTCACTGCGGACTGCCGCTCGCTCGGCGCGTCGTCGCCGCTGCTCCGCCTCCTCGCCCACCCCGCCGTGCGGCTGCGCAAGCTCGTTCTCCACAAGCCCGAGTCGGGTGCCGCGCTGGAGCCTGCAGCCGACGACCTCGTCTCGCTCACCGCGGCGCTCTGCACTCTGCCGCCGCCCACGCGGGCACTCTGCGTCCCGACCCTTCCCCGGATTGATCCGCGTTGCAGGCGCTCAAGCGGAAGCCTCCGGGCGGCGGCGACGCGCCCGTCGCCTCCCTCCGCGAGGCTTATATAATATATATAGCTCTGCCATTCGTGCGGCTGCTCGAAGGCCAGACCCTCCGCCAGCCCTCCGCCTGGCCCACAGGTGGACCTCGGCCAGTCGGGAGGCGGGCTGCGGGGCGCCTTCGAGTTTGTCGCCGCGCTGCTCGCGGGCGAAGAGTGCCGGGCGCGTGCCCCGCCCTCTCCAGCCCTGCTGCTCCACCCCTGACGCCCTCTCCAGCCCTGCTGCTCCACCCCTGACGCCCTCTCCAGCCCTGCTGCTCCACCCCTGACGAGCCCTAGCCCTAACCCTAACCCTAACCCTAACCCTAACCCTCAGCCCTGCTGCTCCACCCCTGACGAGCCCTAGCCCTAACCCTAACCCTAACCCTAACCCTAACCCTCAGCCCTGCTGCTCCGCCCCTGACGAGCCCCAGCCCCCGTCACCCACCCCCCTCTCCCACCCCGCTGCCCCAGGTGCAGAAGCTAGCGCTGTCGGGCGTCCGCAGCGCCTCGGTCGAGGCACTCGCCGCGCTGGGCGCCGCGCTCGACGGGAACCGCCACCTCGAGCAGCTCTCGCTCGGCTGCAACTTCATCTCGGCCGAGGGCTGCCGCGCGCTCGCCGCCGCCGTCGCGTCGCACCCCGCCCTCCGCTCCCTCTCGCTCGAGCACAACCCGATCCAAGACTCGGGCGCCGCCGCCCTCTCCGCCGCCCTGTGCGGGCGCGGCTCGCGCCTCACCTCCCTCTCGCTCCCCTTCACGGGAGCGAAGGACGGCGCTTGCCGCGCGCTCGCCGACGCGCTCGCGGCCGGCGCGCCCCTCGCCTCCCTCGACCTCGGCGGCAACCTGGTCACGGCGGGGGGAGCCGCCGCCCTCGCGGCCGCCCTCGCCGACCCGTCCGGCTGCGCGCTCCGCTCGCTCAACCTGGCGGCAAACTACCGCCTCGGGCCGGAGGGCGCCCTCTCCCTCGCCGCGGCGCTGCCGTCGAGCGGCTTGGCCGAGCTCCACCTGGCGGGCTGCGCGGTCGGCGCGGGGCCGGTCGGCAGGATCGCCGCGGCGGTGGCGCGCTCGTCGCTCCGCCTGCTCGACCTGTCGCACAACCAGATCGGCGACCGGGGCGCGTGGGATCTCGCCTGGGCCATCGCCGAGCCGCACGCGCAGCTGGTGCGGCCGACACCCGCGAGAGAGAGCCGCCCTCGCGCGGCCCCGCCGCCGACGCGTCCCCCTCACCCCTCCCGCCACCCCCTCCGCCCTCCCGCCTCCCCCTCACCCCTCCCGCCACCCCCCTCCGCACCAGACGACGCTCATCCTCAAGTCGGACGACATCGAGGACGACGGCGCCGCGGAGCTGCTCGCCGCGCTGGCGCACAACACCGTCCTCGAGGTGCTCGACCTCTCTGGCAACCGGATCGACCCAAGCGGCGAGCACGGCGCCTCGCAGGACCGGCGCGTGACGCTCGGCTTCCAGTCCCGCCCCTTCCTCCACACGCCGGCGGAGGCGGCGCCGAGCGGCGGAGAGGCGAGCGGCGGCGACGCGGCGAGCAGCGCCTAGGGATGCTGCGGCAGTCCAAGGGCCCGCTCTCAAGGGCCCGCTCTCAAGGGCCCGCTCTCAAGGGGCCTGTCGGGGGTCGGGAGGCGTGTGGCGGGGAGGGGGGAGGGGGGGGAGGGGGGGGATGCGACGTGGCCGGGGAGTGGACTCCTCGTGGTGCCGTCGGGGAAGGGAAGGGAAGGGGTGGGCGGGCGGGACCACGAAGCGGGGGCCTCAGGGGCGGGTGGTCGGGGGCGGGTGGACTGGTGGGGGGCGGGTGATGACCGCCAAGGCGGGGCGAGAGGAGAGACCGGTCCGAGCGTGGTGGCTTGGGCCTGTCCTCGGCGTAGGCGTCGCGTCGTGGCCTGTACAATTCTCTGCTCACGCGCGCAGCGTCCTAGGAGTCTGGCACCGCCTGTTGGTAGCCTTGCTCTCAGCTGCTGCTGTATTCGTTGCGTGTTGTGCCATGTGCCATATGCGGCGAGCGAGATAACATAATGCTTAATGGAACGTCGGTGGTGTGTGGACTGTGGTCGGTCCCGTCTCGAGAGCGCTTCCCGTGGTGTGCGTGGAGTTCTGCGGAGTATCGAGTATACGCGGTGAAATCTAAATAAATAAATAAAACGGACACCTCTCTAGGGCGGACCCGGCGTCGACGAGGGCACGAGGCGCGAGATTAAGCCCCGAGCAGCGGCGTGCGTTGCTTCCCCGGTGCCGCGAGTTCTTGGCGAGCCACCGTGCAGGGGTGGCTCAACCTGCGATGCGGCCTCTGGGCCGGCGCGGGGCCCCCGGCCCACACCGTGCGCCGCGCAGCAGTGCGGAAACGGGGCTCCGGCTCTATGAGTCTCTATGAGCACCAACTTCCCGAATGATTACGGTTGATTAGAGGGCAGATTTGGAGAGATCTCGAGGAGTACACACAGATAGACCCTCCAATCATGAGAAACCTCCAACCTGATCGGTCGTACTGACCGCCGACAGATCACTCCAGACAGCAGACAGGCCGACGTCTGCACGCGGCCGGCCTCCGTGAGATACCGATTTTTCTGTCACTAAATAATTGGCGTAGTGCTTGCCATGAGGGTGCTGAGGGTTGGGGGGGCGGTGGTATGCGCCACATAAATCGGGAAGTACCATCCTGTGCGCCGCAAAGGCCGATCGCGCCCGACGGTGGGGCGGCTCACCGCACACACACAGTTGCGAGGCCGAGCCCGCCGGGCGCGTAGAGCCGAGTGGCCGGGGGGGAGGCGGACCAGGGAAACCGCGCGCGGCAGTGCGAGGTGGCATGTGGCGCGGTCACGGCGGGGGAGACGGCGCGGTGCTAGGGGCGCGGAGCGCACATTGTAGCGCAGAAAAGGGCCTTATCAGTGGGGTAAACGGACCAAGGCCCAGCCGCACCGTGATCCCACCCAGGGGGTTGCGGTCTGTGATGTCTCTATTTATTTATTTCCCAAGGCACATTTAAGAGGTCTTACTTCTCTCGATGTCCCTCAGGACTCGCCGTGCACCGACAACAGCGTTGTCGTCGTCGTTCAGGGCGATCGCGCGCTCGCAGTGCCCGCGCGCCTTCGAGAGTGCGCTCGGCGGCATCCCACCGCCGCGGCTCGCAGCGGAAAGCTCGAGGAGTGCTAGGTTCAGATGCGCCGTGCCCATCTCGCGCGCATCGAGAGCCTCAGAGAAGAGCTGCTTCGCACGGCTAACGTCGCCCCTCTTCGCGTGGATGGTTCCCATGTTGACGAGCACCTCGGCGAACGATTCGGGTGGAGCCTGCGTGCCGAGCGAGCGCGCCGCCTGAAGGAAGAGCTCGTACCGCTCCAGCGCCGCGTCGGCATCGCCAGCGCGTTGGAGCACGAGCGCGGCCTCAAAGGTGGATCGGAGGCTGCTGCCCGGCACACTGAGCATCGGTGCTGGTGCTCTCGAGGCCGGCGGTGGGAGTCTCAGCGATACTGCGAGGACGGGCCAGAGGACAGGCAGGAGCCACCTTTGCATTCGCGCCGAGAGCATGCGTATGCGTGTGCGTGTGGGGATAAGGCCGACCGGTCCGTTTGAAGTAGAGGCCCTCAACCTCAAGACCTACAGCGAGCAAGGCGGCGCGACTTTTTTCTTTTCGGTGAGGAAGAAAGAAATCGGTGAGGCGCCACACCGCACCGCACCCCGCTAAGCATCGTTTTTCTTTTGTGTTCAGGTTTGGCTGGTGAAGCGGTGCGCCAGGTTATCCAGCCCCTTGGCGCGTCCTTCTCCTCAATCGAGTGGCGGTTCACGAGCCTCTACCCGAAGCGTGTGTATATGAAGCTCGCCGTTCTCGTCGTCGTCGCCGTGCATCCTCCCGCACACCGTTTGCCGCAGCGGGCGGCAATCGCGATGGGGCTGAAGGGGCCGCCGCCGATTCCATCGAAGCACTTTGTGTCACTGACGTCGCCAGGCAACCTCACCGAGGCGCTCGCGGGCGCGGCCAGCGATGTGGTGACCGTCGTCAAGTACCAGGCGCCTTGGTGCCGCACATGCCGCGCGATGGCGCCGCTCCTCGACCGGCAGGCGAAGAAGCACCAGGAGCTTCGCTACTTTTCGCTTGAGTGCCGCCGCGACGGCAAGGCGGCGGGCGAGCGGATGCACAAGTTCTTCGTCGAGCGCGGCGCGAAGGGTCTCCCATTCGTGGAGGTCTACCGCGGCGACACGCTCCTCGAGGTGACATATAACAGACACACAGAAAGCGTGGAGGGATGGGAGAGCGGCACAGGCCGCCACCGACAGAGAGAGGGGTTCTGAGGGAAGGAGTGTGTGGTGCTAGCCGTCTCTCACGCTCGCCCTCCTCGGGTCTCTGCTCCTTAGGCGACCACGGTGGCGCCCACCGGCGTCGAGGCCTTCTCGCACGCCATCGGCAGGGCGATCGAGGCGGCGCAGCGGGCGCGGGCGCAGCTGGAGCTGGCCAGCGGCGGCGCCGCCAACAGGCTCCGCGCAGAGGCGGACCGCGTCCGCGCGCTGCTCGGCGTCGGCCCGGCCGACTCGGTGGAATCCGTGCCGCTGCCGCCCACCGCAGCGCCGCGCCTCGACCGGCAGGGGCGGCGACGAGGCGGGCTCGGGCGGCAGGCGGTCGCGGCTCGCCACAAGGCGGCCGCGCCCGTGCTGCGGCAGCAGCGGCGGGGCGCTCCGCTGCGGGGCGCGACCGGGCCACGTGGGAAGAGAGGGTACTCGTAGCGGTTTTGAAACATGAAAGCTCCAGACTCCCCAGAGTCCACGGTTCCTCTTAAATAAATAAACAAAGAGCTGGACAAATACCAAATTCCAAATCGCAAACATAGAAACCCAAACACAGGCGGCGACGTGGCATACGAGCTCATAGGAGAGGAGGCGCACAACTTCCAAGGACGCACGAGCGAGAAGCACGCACACAGCCATGACGATGATGATTGATGCGCGTGAACGCCAACTCCCCGGCACAGGCCGTGAAGAGCCGCGCACGCGGGCCGACGATTACGCAGCTGCGTGCCAAGCAGGCCGCTCTTGTGGCCGCAGCTGAGCTCGCAGCTTCGAGTAACGCCGAGGCGAGTGTGGTAAGGCACTCGCCCGTCGACGAAGCCAAGCGGTGGGCAAGCGGCAAAGGCCGCAAAGTGGGCTTCTCAAAAGCACGTGCCACCTTCCGTGGCGGCGGCACGGGAATCGCGGCGACGGCCGCGAAGCACGACTCGCTCATCAAGAAGGCCCGCTGGCGCGGCACCGAACAAATTGCCCGGGAGACTCCGGCGGGCTCTGTGTCCGTAGAGAGAGAGATTTTTAGCAATACCAAACAAATCTAACACTCACACGTCATTTGGGGCCTGGAGGCCTGTTCACGCGCGCGCGAGACGTGCAGACAGGGTTGCCAGGTGAGAGCGAATGGCGCGGTTCACGCCTCGCACAACAGAGAGAGAGATGCGCTCTGCATGGTGGGACATAAAAGAGAGCGAGTACTTGGGCGAGTAGGCCGTGCGGTCAACGCTGCCGCGCGCGACTTTGCGCGCGAGGCGGCGTAGTTTGAGAACGGCGGTGGGCGAGAAGCCGCCGCCGAACGTCTCGTGGAGCAGCAGGTTGAAGTTGTTGCGCTTGACAAAGATCGCGTCGTGGTAGAAACCGCGATGCGCCTTGACGTAGCCGTGGCCGGTCTTGTGGGAGAAGGGTTGGCCGGGCTGCCCGCGCGCCTTGCAGCCCATGTTTAGGCGGCGGGCCTTCTCTTCGGTGTTACCAAAGGCGTAGGAGTGGCCAACGGAGGCGGGCGTGCCGCCACTCGAGGCGTTGCCAACGCCCGGCGAGGAGGTCTTGAGGAGGGGCGTCCAGAGCTTGACTTCATTCACGTCATCGCACCCTCCTGGTCCCGCATGGGGTTCCGCGAGGTCGACCTTGTACCCCTCGTTGTACTGCCGGGTGAGCTCTGGTTTCTCCTTGTCGCCGTGCACGACCGGCGCGTTGGCCGGGGCGCGCATCGCGTCCGCCCAGGCGGCGAGGACGCCGTCGTGGGGCCGCCGGTGGTGGGCCTTGTTGTAAAGGTAGTCGCCGAAGAAATCGACTGGCATGCCCCGCTCGAGCGCGACCCGAAGGGTGGGAAGCGCCGCGGAGAGCCAAAGGCCGAGCTTTCGCTGGAGCTCGTCCTGGAGGGTGTCGGAGGAGAGGGCGGTGGCGTACGTACCGTCGACACGGACATCGAAGGCCTTGCCGGCGAAAGGCGTTGAGGCGGAGAGCAGGAAGGGCGTCTAGGAAGGCCGCACCGGCGTCTGCCGGATCGGCGTCGGCGCCGTCGTCCGCCGGGGCGATGGCGGGTTCGTGGTCGTCGCCCGTGCCCTGCTCGCCGTCGTCGGACGCCTGTCCTTGCGGTGGCGGCGGTGGCGATGGCGGCGGCGAGATCGGGCCACCTGGATCCGGTCCGGACTCGGGCGGCGGCGGCGGTGGTGGCGAGTCTGCGGCGTTGAGCTCTAGTACTTCGCGCTCGGCGTCGGCGAGGCGTTGTCCGGCGGCGAGGGCTTCTTCGTCGGTCGTCGCCTCGTCGAGGGCAGACGATGCGTTGTGCTTCTTAGCGAGGGCTTCCTCCTCCGCCGCCTTGTCGAGGGCAGTCGATGCGGCGCGCTTCTTGTCACGCTTCTTGCCAGCGGTGGCGGGGTCGGCGTAGGACAAAGGGTCCGACGTGTCGTCGTGGTGTGTCTTCAGCACCTTGGACGAGCCCTTGGGATCGCCCGCACCTCCGAAGGTCGTCCGCGCTTTGCCGCTGGGCGGGGAGGCGTCGCCCTTGGCAGCAGCGTCCGCGAGTGGTGAGCGAGGGCGGACGAGCGAGCCAGATTCTTGTGTCGGCGCCGGGCGGACGACGCCGAAGTAAGTCGGGGCGAAGAGGTTGGCCGGGAACGCGTCGCCGCCGGGGGGTGGCGGTGGGGAAGGCGGCGCTGGCGGCGGCGGCGAGGGAGGAGGAGGGGGCGGCGAGGGGGGCGGTGGTGGCGGCGGTGGCGGTGGCGACGACAGTGGCACCGGCGGCGGCGACGGCGGGGCCGATGCTGTCTGGCAGTCGAGAGGCGGTTCGAACCGGCGCTTGCGCCTCGGCGGCCGGTCGATGGGGGAGGATGTCGATGGATCGAGCTCTTCGATGCTGGCGCCGTCGCCGGGCGAGGTCGAGGGCGATGCAGCCGACGATGACGCAGTGGCGCCGTTGCCGGTTGCCGTCGAGGACGACGCAGCAGATGACGACGCAGCGGCGCCGTTGCCGTTGCCTGGCTGGGCGTAGGTGGTGACCGTGCCGGGGCTCAGGACGACGGGTTGGAGAAGGACGCCGGGATGGGCTGGCGTTGCCTCCCCTTCAAACGGGTACCAGAAGTCGAGTAGGATCTGGGTCGAGGTCGGGATTGGGTAGTGCACGTTGATGTGGTCGAGCGCCTCTTGGATGTCGCGGTACTTCTTGTGGCGTGCCCTCGAGCCCCCGACGGCGCCGTGCGCTGCGCAGAGGTCCCACGTGGAAAAGACGCCCCAACCAGACCCTGGAACGTAGAGCGCGTAGTACCAAGGCTTGGGCGCGGCGGAGACGCTGTGTAAAATGAACAGGGAAGCGAAAATGCCGTTTTTGGTGTAAGCCGCCATGAGGCCGGCGAGTAAGAGATCTCCCGGGAGCTTTGCCATCACCAGTCCCAGCGGGTCGGAGAGGTCCCAGAGGCCGCCCGCCGACGAGGCGTCGCGCGAGAAGAGACTGGTGATGGTCTCGTTTGCGGGCGTGCCGCCAACGAAGATTTTGTGTGTTTGTCCGTAGTGACGATGCCGCACCGCAAGGACTTCGCCTCCGACAAGGAGCACCAAGTGAGGTTTAACCTGTGGCTGAAGGCGGACGGCTTCAAAGGCAAGGTGATTCTTTTCGCAGCAGCGTTGAATAAAACGGACACACCAAACAAGGGGTGGGAGAAGGACAGGGTCCCCACCTGCGCGAGCAGGATCTTGTAAGGACTGATTGATTGATTGATGGGAAGGCGAAACACAGTCCGACCAACGACTGGGACACCAACGCGGTATGGGTGGACGCAGGAATAAATAAAACGGGCAAAATAAATAAAACGGACACCAATAAATAAATAAAACGGGCACGAATAAATTCTTGCATTTTTGCTCCCGGCTGAGGGAGCAAGCAAGCCCACTCAACCCCAAGTACTCACCGTTTTATAGTGGTGTTTTTGTCGCATCGGCTGCAGCCTCTGCTGGGGCGGAATGCGGGGGGTTTTCGGCGCGATGCCCTCGGCGAGTACACGCTACAGCACCGCCGCAAGCTCTCCTGCGCGCGCGTGACGTGTGGGACGCGTGCGCTGCGCTCAAGCGTCGCGATTTGGCGATAGGCGCTCGAGCCGGCGCACAGCGGATAGGTACGCCGCGCAGGGGGTGTCGGAGGGGTGCGAGAGGGGGCGTGGGTCGGGCGCGCACCGGCTGGCTCCGGGAGCGGCCGTCACGTCGAGGAGTGGGGCTGTCGGCGGCTCGAGCGCCGAGGCGAGCCGCTCTGCTGCGCCGCCGACAGCCCCTCTTCCGAGCCGGCGCGTGGAGGCGAGCCGCGGCCGGTGTCGCTGGTGCGGGGGCGGCGCAGCGTTTATCCCCCCCCCCCCCCGGTTGAGCCCCTTGTGCCTTGAGGTCACCGCCCAGCATCACAGCCACACGCGGGGGCCGTTTTAATTTTTCCCCACGCGAGTGTCGAGAATGCATGTATCCTGCATATGCCCAGGTTGTGAGGACTAAGGTAAGGTAAGGTAAGGTAAAATTCTCCACCACCAAAGTGGTGGGGCAAGGGGGGGCGAACCCTCGCATCTCCACACGTGTGCTGCTGAGTGCTGCCTGTGTCAGTGCTGTCGGGTGCTGACTGCTGTCGG